GCCAAACGTGCGCTTGTTCTCTCTGACCTTGTATACGTCTCTCAGTGCCAGGTCAGGCGAGCTGTTTTCTCCTGAAAGTAGGTGAGCAGCTGTTCCTGATATTAGAATAAAGGTGGCAGTGGTGATGAGGAGATTTCTGGCCTTTTTTATGCAAGGTGTCAGAGCAGAATAGGATTTATGGGTATTTAGCAAATAAACTGTCCTGCTGGTATAGAGTACAGTTTCACCAGTAAAGCCACATAGCCTTGATATCTGTAATTATTCTTTTGTGATGGAGGGTGACATTAACACTTTATGTATGGAGCGGTGATTCTCAGCTATGGCTGCATATCAGTGTCACCAGGGGAAGTTGTCACTGGATGATGCAAGTGGTTAGTGTGAACCAGTGGTTCGAATCCACCCAGAGGCTCCTTGGAAGAAAGTTCTGGAAGTCTACTTCTGAAAAAGTCAGCCATTGAGGACCCTGTGGACTCTGACACGTATTGGGTCACCAAGAGTCAGAGTGAACTTCATGGCAACTGGCTTAAATGGGGAACTTTTAAATCTACTGCTGTCTGATCTCACCCTAGAGATGCTGCTTTATTGATTTGGGGTGCAGCCTGGGAACCAGATTTTTAAAAGCTTCCTAAATTATTCTGATATGAAGGCTCCGTAGTGGTGTAAATGGTTATGGGCTCGACTGCTAACCGAAAGGTTAATTGTTCAAACCCATCCCACAGTTCTGTGGGAAACAAGACCTGGAAATCTGCTCCCATACAGATTACAGCCAAGAAAACTCTGAGTAGAATCGATGATAAGGTACACAACAACAATTCAGTCTAATGGCTGTTCAGGTTGAGAACCACTGGTTTAGTTTATCCATTCTATCTCAGGAAAAGAACAATAGTTATACTCTATGTTAGAATTGTTTGACTTTTCCTGGTTGTTAAAGCACAAAAGGTTTACATGCTGAGAAGTTAAAATTGAGTAGGAATAACTGCAATGGATCAGGCAGTGAGAATAGTGTGCTTCCAATATGTTCCTCTGCATCAGTGTGCTTTCCCTCCCCTGTTGTTATCATCCCTACTTCATCCCACCAGATTGTTTTGAGAATTGCTGGAAAAAATAATGAGCATTCTAACACTTGGAACTTGCAAGGTGCTCTTGCCCACATTTTTTTTTTTTTAAGTTGTATTGAACACTCAGGAATATATAATCATTTAAACAACCAAAGGGCACCTGCTATAAGCCTGCCTCCTGGCTGCCAGCACACAGCCTTTCTCTTTCCATGAATTTAGAGTCCTCAGCTGCTGTATCTCTTGAGGTCATCATCTCTGCCTCTACCTTTGGTTGTTGCTGCTTCTCTGGATAGGGCCCCACATTCCACTCATGCTCTTCTCCCTTGATGGCCCTAGGGTCCTCAGTTCCTGAACTGTAAGATTAATTACTCCTCTTTTCATTATAAAAATTCTACCTTTACAGTTGTGACAGTTGCAATGAGTCATGATAACAGTCATTCACTGTTGAATCATAGGAGTCCTATCCCCATCTCCTTTTACCAGACCCACCTAGGCAAGATGAAAACTAGTCAGTAGGGATTCTACCTTCCCCCGCACACTCTGAAACTAAACTCCCTTATGAAAACTTGTAAGTCAGTCACTTTGTGCCTTTATAGCCCCCTCCTGCCCTACTCCCCACACCATTTTAGGTAGCCAATGTCTAAGTTGCCCATCCCTATCAACCCGGTATACTGAGCGAATATGTTGATCCTTGTCCCACATATTTTCTTTTTCTTTTTAATTAAATGTTTTTATTTTGCATTGAGTGAAAGTTTACAGGGCACATCATCAGCTTCACATTCAACCATTCATATAGCTTGTTTCATTACATTGATTATTATCCCCTCCAT